CGTACAAAATGCACCGCAGAGAAATCGCATGTGATTGGCACAGGAATGCGGTCCGGTTCCTATGTGAATCACATGCGATGTGCCGCACCACATATGTGTGAACCCGGACTGAGGCTTAACTAAACAAGCTGAAGATAGAAAAACCTTCAACCTTGTACTGAGATGTGGCTTCACCCCGCAGTGAAGCATTATCTGTGTACATATAAGGTCTCCGTAGTGTACACTCCGCTCACGTGTCTAGAATTATTTATAAACAACATTTAATGTATATATACACAAATGTTACACATGTAACGTCACATCTCGGGACGCAACACATTGGGGAGTTGGGTATTATGGCAGCTGTGGTCTCTTGAATTCCAGCTGTGTGTAGGGATCTTGGAAAAGCAGCTTTTACAGTGTAATTACAGCTCTCGCTATCGAAGAATATTTGGAGACCCGTCCCTGCTATGCTCGGGGCGATGGTTTAGCCTCGGTGTTGTAATAACCTTTGGGAAAAACGCAGCAATTTTGTGGTCCATTAAGAAAGCACATCAAGTCTGGCGACTGAAAACGTTCCGTCAGGTTGTTCCTCGTTATAGAGATTGTCTTCGTAATATGACGTCCCGTATCTTCAAATATGGAAAATTTGCCAATCCTTGACGTCCTACACCAATAATATCTAAACTGTAGCTTCTCTGAGAATCTTTATAGTCCAACACGCTCGTATATTCCATAATGCTTTGGGATTACACTAACATTATTTTGTGCAAATACAATATTAAAACCCATTACTATATTATATTATACAGTATTTATATAGCGCCAAAGGGTATGCTCAGCGCTGTACAGTAGCAAGGGGGACAGAACATGAGACAAGACAGTAACAATACAATACACGAGGGGTTCGAGGGCCCTGCACTTTCGAGCTTACAATCTAGGAGGGAGGGGAAGGTGGTACAGGAGGAGATGGCTGTGGGGGATGGAGTGGTGGGTGGAGTGGAGGAGGTTAGTTGTTAGGTGAGGTCGGGGTGTTAGGTGAGGGTGGGGTAGGCTTCCCTGAAGAGGGTTTTCAGGGTGCGCCTGAAGGTGAGGAAGGTGGGTGACAGTCTGATGGATTGGGTAGGGAGTTCCAGAGGATGGGGGAAGCCCTGGAGAAGTCCTGCAATCGGGCGTGGGAGGAGGAGACCAGGGAGCTAGAGAGCAGGAGGTCCTGTGAGGAGCGGAGGGCACGGGTAGGGTAGTATCTGGGTATCAGGTCAGTTATGTAGTTTGGGGCGGCATTGTGAATGGCTTTGTAGGTCAGGGTTAGCAGCTTGAACTTGATGCGTTGGGCAGTCGGGAGCCAATGAAGGGATTGGCAGAGGGGGGAGGCAGATGTGGAGCGCTTGGTGAGGTGGATGAGTCTGGCCGCTGAGTTCAGGATAGATTGGAGTGGGGATAGCGTTCGTTTGGGTAGGCCAGTGAGAAAGGAGTTGCAATAGTCCAGGCGTGAGATGATGAGGGAGTGTACGAGTTGTTTGGTGGTGTCTGGGGTGAGTAACGTGCGTATCTTGGAGATGTTGCGGAGGTGGAGCCTGCAAGATCTAGATAGCAGTTGGATGTGGGGTAGGAAGAAGCGGTGGGAGTCCAGGGTGACACCCAGGACTTTGGCGTGTGGGGAGGGAGAGATGGTGGCGTTGTTAGTAGTGATGGAGAGGAGGGGGGGGCACGGGGTGGGGGGAAGACCAGGAGCTCGGTTTTGGATAGGTTAAGTTTGAGGAAATGGAGCGACATCCAGTCTGATATGTCGCTTAGTGTTTTTGTTTTTGTAATATATAAGAAAAGACGAGGTCACGTCAAGAGAAAAAAAAAGATACCAAACATGCCGAGTCTTTAATTTGCGCACATCTGTGGAATTGCATAAAAAAAAAAAATGATGGTACCCCAAATTCTCCATACTGAAAGCTTTAAATGCCTTTACAGGTTATCATGAATTATGGCCCTAGAATGATTGCGCTCACCCCAATGTTCATGGTGATACCTCACAACTGGTGATTGGATCCACGTGCTCACCCTACACCGCTCTTTATATATGGGGGGGGGGGGGGTGCAGGAGTGACAGGGGTGCTTTAATTTTTGAAAGCACGTTTTTTTCTGGCGACTGAAGAAAACGTTCTGTCAGGTTGTTCCTACTTATAGAGATTGTCTTCATAATATTACGTCCCGTATCTTCAAATATGGAAAATTTGCCAATCCTTGACGTCCTGCACCAATAATATTTACACTGTAGCTTCTCTGAGAATCTTTTTAGTCCAACACGCTCGTATATTCCATAATGCTTTGGGATTACACTAAAATTATTTTAGTGCAAATACAATATTATAACCCAATTTTTGGGTAAAATATAAAAAAGACAGAGTGGCGTCAAGAAAAAAAAGATACCAAACACGCCTAGTCTTTAAATTGTGCACATCTGTGGAATTGCAAAAAAAAAATGATGGTACCCCAAATTCTCCATGCTGAAAGCTTTAAATGCCTTTACAGGTTTTCAGTTTGGAGTTAATCATGAATTATGACCCTAGAATGATTGATCTCACCCCAATGTTCATGGTGATACCTCACACCTGGTGATTGGATCCACGTGCACACCCTACACCGCTCTTTATATATGGGGGGGTGTGCGTAAGTGACAGGGGGTGCTTTAATTTTTTCTTATTTTAAAAAGTTCTTTTTAGTATTACACTTTTTAATTTTTATTTTAACTTTATTGCTATCACAAGGGGGGCTATCAAGCTACCCCATGTGATAGGATGGGCAGGTGACAGGTCCTCTTTATGGAGACACTGAAAGCCCCATAAGCCCCAGATCTAGAGGGATCTATTAGACCCTTTGAAAGCCCCATAAGCCATCAGATCTAGAGCAATCTATTAGACCCTTTGAAAGCCCCATAAGCCCCAGATCTAGTGGGATCTATTATACCTTTTGAAAGCCCCATAAAAAGTGATCTAGAGCAATCTATTAGACCCTTTGATAAGCCCCAGATCTAGTGGGATCTATTAGACCCTTTGAAAGCCCCATAAAAGATCTATTAGATCTAGAAGCCCGATCTATTAGACCCTTTGGAAGCCCCATGAAAGCCCCAGATCTAGAGGGATCTATTAGACCCTTTGAAAGCCCCAGATCTAGTGGGATCAATTAGACCCTTTGGAAGCCCCATAAAAGTGATCTAGAGCGATCTATTTAGACCCTTTGAATGCCCCAGACCGATCTATTAGACCCTTTGGAAGCCCCATAAGCCCCAGATCTAGTGGAATCTATTATACCCTTTGAATGCCCCATAAAAGTGATCTAGAGCGATCTATTAGACCCTTTGGAAGCCCCATAAGCCCCAGATCTAGAGGGATCTGTTAGACCCTTTGAAAGCCCCATAAGCCCCAGATCTAGACGGGATATATTAGACTCTTTGAAAGCCCCATAAAAGTGATCTAGAGCAGGTGTGGGCAACTGTGGCCCTCCAGCTGTTGAAGAACTACAAGTCCCATGAGGCACTGCAAAACTGACAGTTACAAGCATGACTCCCAAAGGCAGAGGCATGATGGGAACTTGTAGTTCACCAACAGCTGGAGGATCACAGTTGCCCACCCCTGATCTACAGCGATCTATTAGACCAAGCCGCAAAAGCCCCAGATCAAGAAAGAATTATTAGACCCTTTGAAAGCGCCAGATCTAGAGGGATCTATTAGACCCTTTGAAAGCCCCAAAAAAAAGTGATCTCGAGCCTCCTAATCAGATTTATCACAAAGCCCAAGATACCAAGCTCATTGCTGAAGTATCAGCTGTTAGCTTGATTCAACCACCTATCAACCATGCTGCTTATAAACGTACATTGGCAGGCAAGTGGTTAGAACGCTCACATGACATAGATGCCTCCAGCATTGGATAATGCCATATGTGAACAAACCTTCCGTAAGCTGACAAAAGAGCATCCCACCAATGTGTCTCCAATGCCTATCGACGCGTTTCATCACCTGGACATCAGAAGCATCAAGGAGATAGGAAGTTGGAAAAAAAATACATTTTAAAGTAGATCAGAGGTGGAATCTTCCCAACATGCAGAAAGTCAGCAATAAAAAATAAGGGATGACCTTTCCCCATTCCAAAACCTAAATATATGTGTTGTCAGTTGACCAAACAACCCTGGACCATCCACTGCTGATCTCATTATCTCTAAAAACAAAATCCGGTATTTCCGCGTTGCTCTGCTCTATCAGTGGCCAGGGTTAGAGTATCTACAGCACATGTGACAGAGGGAATGTAAGGAATTTATGATCTACGGAAAGTAGCACATATATGAGCTGCACAGTGAGTTCCTGAGATAATATAGTAGAAAAATCGATATTTGAGATTGTTAAAGTCTATCTTGAAAACTATTGGAAGGATTGTTTTGATAATTTTAGTGGGTTTTTTCTATATTTTATAGAGCAGTCCTTCTGAACCAGGACTCCCCAGAGCCCCAGGGTTTCCCATAGAGCTTGCTAGGGGTTCCTTGATCTGTGAGCAGTTTCTGCCTCTCAAATAAGAAACCATTGTCACCAATAATCTTTTTAGCTATCTGTAAGGGAGGCTTTTTTTGTAATGACCACCAAAGTAATGGCCATTCTTCCCACTGACCTCCATTGTTAGGAACATTCTTCCCAGACCAATATTAGAACTCCAATGTAAGGAACATTTGTCCCACTGACCTCCAATGTAAGGAACATTCGTCCCACTAACCTCCAATGAAAGGAACATTCTTTCCACTGACCAATATTAGGAACATTCTTCCCATTGACCCCAGCGTAAGGAACATTCTTCCCATTGACCCCCAACGTAAGGAACATTCTTCCCATTGACCCCAACGTAAGGAACATTCTTCCCACTGACCAATATAAGGAACATTCTTCCCATTGACCCCAATGTAAGGAACATTCTTCCCACTGACCCAACGTAAGGAACATTCTTCCCACTGACCCAACGTAAGGAACATTCTTCCCATTGACCCAACGTAAGGAACATTCTTCCCACTGACCCAACGTAAGGAACATTCTTCCCACTGACCCAATGTAAGGAACATTCTTCCCACTGACCATCAATGTAAGGAACATTCTTCCCACTGACCTCCAATGTACGGAGCATTCTTTCCCACTGATCACTAATGTAAGGGACATTCTTCTCACTGACCACCAATGTAAGGAACATTCTTCCCACTGATCACCAATGTAAGGAACATTCTTCTCACAATGTGACCACCAATGTAAGGGACATTCTTCCCACTGACTTCCAATGTAAGGAACATTCTTTCTTACTGACCTCCAATGTAAAAAACATTCTTTCCTCTGACCCCAATGTAAGGGACATTCTTCCCACTGACCACCAATGTAAGGAACATTCTTCCCACTGACGCCAATGTAAGGAACATTCTTCCCACTGACCACCAATGTAAGGAACATTCTTCCCACTGACCCCAATGTAAGGAACATTCTTCCCACTGACCCAATGTAAGGGAACATTCTTCCCACTGACCACCAATGTAAGGAACATTCTTCCCACTGACTACCAATGTAAGGAACATTCTTCCCACTGACCCAATGTAAGGAACATTCTTCCCACTGATCACCAATGTAAGGAGCATTCTTCCCACTGATCACCCAATGTAAGGAACATTCTTCCCATTGATCCCAATGTAAGGAACATTCTTCCCACTGACCACCAATGTAAGGAACATTCTTCCCACTGACCACCAATGTAAGAGGACATTCTTCCCACTGATCACCAATGTAAGGGACATTCTTCCCACTGACCTCCAATGTAAGGGACATTCTTCCCACTGATTACCAATGTAAGGAACATTCTTCCCACTGATCACCAATGTAAGAGACATTCTTCCCACTGACCACCAATGTAAGGGACATTCTTCCCACTGATCACCAATGTAAGGAACATTCTTCCCATTGACCCAATGTAAGGAACATTCTTCCCACTGATCATTCTTCCCAATGTAAGGAACATTTTTCCCAAAGATCACCAATGTAGGGAACATTCTTCCCACTGATCACCAATGTAGGGAACATTCTTCCCAAAGATCACCAATGTAAGGAACATTCTTCCCACTGACCACCAATGTAGGGAACATTCTTCCCACTGACACCAATGTAAGGAACATTCTTTTCCCACTGATCACCAATGTAAGGGACATTCTTCCCACTGACCACCCAATGTAAGGGACATTCTTCCCACTGACCACCAATGTAAGGAGCATTCTTCCCACTGTACGGAGCCTCACCACCAATGTAATGGGACATTCTTCACTATTGACCCCCAATGTAAGGGAACATTCTTCCTATTGACCACGAGTATAATGTGAATGGGGCTTAGGGACTGATAAAAACCGCAAAATGTTTTGTTTTGATGTCCTTGAAGTTCTGCAAAGTAACGCACTATGGCTGCATAAGGCTTCATGCACATGCATGTCTGATTCTACGTAGAATCTTGCTGGCATTGAAATCCTACATCAAATCTTGTCCATATGCTGTATGCATGTAATCATTTTGCGAACGTTAACAGGCGCACAGCTTGTAGCGCCAATTGTCCCTACTGGTTGTAGCAACGCCAGCGTCTCATGCACTCCAATAGACTGTATTTAGCATTAGGACAAAGCATTTCAAAGCATACAGTGTAGGTCAGACAAATATACTCCTCTTTAAAAGAAGGTTTTGGGCAATATTGAACAAAAAAGAAAAAAAAAGGAAAAGAAAAGTCACTGATCGAAAGTTTTTTTTTTTTTTTAGTTTTTTTTTTTTATTAACACCAAAAAGTCTGACAACCTTTTTCAATGCTTCCAGTGACATGGGAACTGCGCTCTCTCCCCGGGCCCATCTCCATTCCTCCCATCCAGCTTTCAATCTACCGCTCTGCTCACAGGTGCCGCACAACCACGCACAGACAGATTGAATTAAATGATTTTGTGACCTTTGAGAGAAAAGAATAAACATAAAACATGGCAAACACACACAATAAACCAGGCGCCTATAAAAGGAGCTCTGTGGAAATAAAGGTCAGTCGTTCTTTTCATAGGGAGGTCAGGCGTGTGCGAGGGCCAAGAGGATAAGCTGCATCCAATACCATCCCTTGTTATTGCAGACGGGAGCGGAGTTCTGGGAGAGGTCGGCGTGGAGGTCTCCACTGGCCACAAGCCAGACCATCGGCTCTAAAAAAAAATACCGGGATGTTGCCTGCAGCTGCAGGTATAACCACTTGAAGTTCAGCAATGGACGGGTGCGCCGCTGGTCATCAAGTGTGTCTCATCTCCAGGGAGAATACGTTTAATGTTTGCAGTCAATACTCGTAACGGTGGTCCTCCAGCTCAATTAATAGCTTTGTGTCCTTTTCTGGATTCTCTCCAGTTCCAGCACATTACCCGAGTCCTCAGCTATGTACCCTTTCTGGATTCTCTCCAGTTCCAGCACATCCTTTCTGAGTCACCTTATTAGCTTTGTGCCCTTCTCTGGATTCTCTCCAGTTCCAGCACATCCTGATTACCCTTATCAGCTTTGTCGCCCTTCTCTTGATGCTTTCCAGTTCCAGCACATCCTTCCCAAGTCCCCTTATTAGCTTTGTGTCCTTCCCTGGATTCACTCCAGTTCCAGCACATCCTACCCGGGTCCCCTTATTAGCTATGTGACCTTCTCTGAAATTTCTCCAGTTCCAGCACCTCCTTCCAGAGTCCCCTTATCAGCTTTGTTGTCCTTCTCTGGATTCTCTCCAGTTCCAGCACATCCTTCCTAGTCCCCCTATTAGCTTGTGTGTTCTTCACTGGATTCACTCCAGTTCCAGCACATCCTTCCAGAGTTCCCTTATCAGCTTTGTTGCCCTTCTGTGGATTCTCTCCAGTTCCAGTACATCCTACCCGAGTCCCCTTATTTGTTTTGTGTCCTTCTATGGATGCTCTCCAGTTCCAGCACGTCCTTCCGGAGTCCCCTTATTAGCTTTGTGCCCTTCTCTGGATTCTTTCCAGTTCCAGCACATCCTTCCCAACTCCCCTTAATAGCTTTGTGTCCTCCTCTGGATTCTCTCCAGTTCCAGTACATCCTACCCGAGTCCCTTATTAGCTTTGTGCCCTTCTCTGGATTCTCTCCAGTTCCAGCACATCCTTCCCAAGGACTGGTGACCAGAACTGGACAGCATGCTCCAGATGAGGCCGAACCAGAGTTTAAATTATAAAGTGTCAGAATTCTAGTCTCATCTCTCGAGTAGACTTCCTTTTTAATACACGCTAATAGTCTGCTGGCTTGGCACTGCAGGCTATTGCTGAGCTCGCAGAAAATGTTCTAAGCCTGAAAAAAAAAAATGAATGCAGCCACCCCATCTAAGAACTGGTAAGATCTCTTAAAAATTAATTTTTTTGTTGTTGTTGGGTTTAGCTACACATCACCAAAAAAAAAAAAAAAAAAAAAAAAAAAAAAAAGTCTTCTGTTTTAGAGAGATAAAAGTGTTTCAGGAACAGGAGGAATGGCGTCTGGTGACACACTGATATAAATAAATCTCATTTCTTACGCAGAACCCTGCAGGACATATGGCACAAACTGTACATTCTACCTAGAAGAGCAATAACCACAATAACCTTGAAGTATCAAAATTTACAGCTTACCAACGCAGCAGTTATACAGCCGGGTGACGTCGCCCGGACAAGCCCCGCCCACTTCTTACTCAATGTATGGAGCAGCTGCGAAGAACTGTGCGTAGTTAATTCTCTATCAGATAAAAAGGTACATTGGCGCAATACTACCTCCTGTCTTAGATTTAACCCTTTCTTGAAGCAGGGAAGTCTCCCAAGGTGGGACAATAAGCGAGCAATCCATCCTTTGTTAGACGGATAGTTATCACCGGCTATTGGCATCTTTTAACCCGTTCGCCGCCGGGTCCCTTCATCGTACAAACCTGACAAGTCGGCTGCCAGATAGAATCAATCCAGTGGCTGTGTAGCTGATTCCAAACCCCCCCCCCGGCAACGCCACAAACAGGGGCGGAGTGACCATTTGGAAACTCGGCCACTGCCCGAGGGCCTGGGGTCAGTGGGGGGCCCCATGAGATGCCCCTGGTACCTTTTTCATAGGCTTTTTTGAGTTTGGGCAAGGACACAGGGGCCCCATGATCCCCTATTGCCGGGGGCCCCATGAGTTGTCAGTCTGCCTCTGGTCCTGGAGCTTCCTGCCAGTCGCTGACATCTTCGAGCATCCGGTTTAGGGGTATTTGGCTGGATGGGGATGAAGAATCTGCTTGCCGCTCTGTTCTCACCTTCTATCAGCATGTTGCCTTATTAGCATATGAGCACTACAGCACGACGGATTGGCTCCCTGTGCTGCTTCTTCCTTTCCCAGTCTGAGCTCGGCTGTACAGGGGTTGCAGGAGGCTGATACCAGGTCACATTTCGGTGCTTGTCTTATAAAAAATACTATGCATGGCGTGTTGGCGAACACATTCATTTGTGCCTTTTTCTATCTGCCTGGATTTCCAATTTTATTTCTTTTAGAAGTGAGAATTTTTTTTTTTCTTTTACATCCGGTGTAGACAGTAAATGGATACAAGCAGGGGCGGACTGACAACTCATGGGGCTCCCGGGCAATAGGGGATCATGGGGCCCCTGTAGCCTCGCCCAAACTCAAACGAGGGGGCCCCATGAGTTGCCATAAACCAACCCCACCCCCTCCCCACGCACATCCCCAACCTGTATCCCAGGCCCTGCTTGCCCTTTTGTGGGCCTGGGACCAGCATGGTGGGTGCCGAAGGGTAGAGGGGAGGGAACTGCCCCTCCTCGCCTTCTACTCGCTGACCCAAAAGTAACATGTAAAAACATCACTTCTCGGTCCCCCTTTCACTTTCCAGGAAAGAATTTAATGCTGTGCCATCTGAATTGCATTAGAGTCATTAGAGCACAGGTGAGACATCAGGGGTTCTTTTATTTATTTATTTCAGGTACTTATATATTGCTGTCAATTTACGCAGCACTTTACACATATATATTGTACATTCACATCAGTCCCTAACCCTCAAGGGGTGTACAATCTAAGGTCCCTAACCCTCAAGGGGCGTACAATCTAAGGTCCCTAACTCACATTCATACATACGGGACAATTTAGACAGGAGCCCATTCACCTACCAGCATGTCTTTGGAGTGTGGAAGGAAACTGGAGTACCCGGAGGAAACCCACACAGGCACAGGGAGAACATGCAAACTCCAGGCAGGTAGTGCCGTGGTTGGGATTTGAACCAACGACCCGAGTACTGCCAGGCGGAAGTGCTAACCATTTAGCCACTGTGCTGCCCATAGACCCCAAATGTCTCATTAAAAAGATCCTGTCGCCAAAAAAAAAAAAAAAAAATCACTACATAGAGGACTTTTTGATGATAAAAAAAAGTTTGTTTAAAGAAAAAAAAAAAATTGTAAAAATTGCAAGTACATTTTTTGAGGCGCCCCCAGAACATACACACACGTACGAATGTAAAAACGTGCACGTTGGGGGCGCTTACGTGCAAAAACGCCAATTGCGTTACACATGTTATATAATCACCACGCACACCGGTGTGAGCAATAATTTTAGCACCGGAGCTCCTGTGTAGCTCTAAACTGATGCTCTAGAAGGGATTTTAAAGTATTGCCTATGGAAAAAATAGGGTAATGAAGCTCATTGCCATTTCACAGACACAATTTTAAGGTTTGACATGTTGGGTATCTATTTATGTGGCGCAACCTCATCTTTTATATTTTACCAAATAATTGAGTCATTTATTGCGTTTGTGTGCCCTAAAATTAACTTTTGTGTATTTATCATGTAACATAAAAAATTGGAACTACCACCATTGTATTCTCTAGGGCAGTGATGGCGAACCTTTTTGAGCCCGAGTGCCCAAAACTGCAACACAAACCAACTTTTTTATTTCAAAGT